ACCCAACATTGACCACCCAATATTGACCAATGTCCACCCAACATTCACCAATGACCACCCAACATTGACCACTCAATGCTCTGACCAGAGAGTCCTGCTTGACGATGCCCTGCGGACACGGTGACCACTCAGTGACCATCAGTGACCATCGGTGACCATCAGGTGACCACTGAGTGACCACTGAACTGACCACCCAACATCCACCAATGACCACCCAACATTGACCACTCAACACCCAACATTCACCACTCAACGCTCTGACCAGAGAGTCCTGCTTGACGATGCCCTGTGGAGATGGTGACCATTGGTGACCGCTGAGTGACCACTGAGTGACCGCTGAGTGACCACCCAACATCCACCAATGGCCACCCAACATTGACCACCCAACATTGACCACCCAACGCTCTCCCAGCCCTCCCTGACCAGAGAGTCCTGCTTGACGATGCCCTGTGGACCATTGGTGACCACTGAGTGACCACTCAGTTAACCCTCAGTGACCGCGGAGTGACCACTGAACTGACCACCCAACATTGACCAATGACCACCCAACATTGACCACTCAACGCTCTGACCAGAGAGTCCTGCTTGACGATGCCCTGCGGACACGGTGACCACTGAGTTACCATCAGTGACCATCGGTGACCACTGAGTGACCACTGAGTGACCGCTGAGTGACCACTGAATGCTCTCTGAACTGACCACCCAACATTCACCAATGGCCACCCAACATTGACCACTCAACACCCAACATTCACCACTCAACGCCCGCTGCCCAAACGCTCTCCCAGCCTTCCCTGACCAGCAGATGACCATCAGGTGACCATGAGATGACCGCTTGGTGACCGATCAGTGACTGCTGAATGCCCTCTGAACTGACCATGCAACATTCACCACCCAACACCCACCAATGTCCACCCAACACTGACCACTCAATGCCCACTGCCCAAACGCTCTCCCTGACCATGAACTGACCACTCGGTGACCACTCGGTGACCATCAGGTGACCGCTCGGTGACCGCTCAGTGACCACTGAATGCCCTCTTAACTGACCACCCAACATTCACCAATGACCACCCAACATTGACCACCCAACGCCCGCTGCCCAAATGCTCTCCCAGTTCTCCCTGACCATCAGGTGACCATCAAGTGACCACTGGGTGACCATGAAGTGACCATCAGATGACCATGAACTGACCACTGGGTGACCACTGGGTGACCACTGGGTGACCATCAGATGACCATGAAGTGACCACGAGCTGACCATGACCTGACCATCAGGTGACCATGAGCTGACCATCAGGCGGTCAGCAGGTGACCATGAGCTGACCATGACCTGACCATGAGGTGACCATCAGATGACCATGAGCTGACCACTGGGTGACCACGRGCTGCCCAGGACCCACCTCCTTCTCCTTCTCCTCGGCCTCGCGGGTCTTGTAGCGTTTCTGCACCTCTTTGATGATGCGGAACGCGTTCTGCAGGTTCGACGCCGGCACCGTCGACTCCCCCGGCGGCTTCAGGTTGGACGCGCGGTACGTTCTGGGGACAGGGACAAAGGGACACCAGGGTGACCACACACAGTGACACCAGGGGACAGGGACCTCACTGTGACATCCCCATGGTGTCACCCGGGGACAGGGACAAAGTGACACCAGGGTGACACCAGGGGACAGTGACCACACTGTGACACCACCAAGTGACACCCGGGGACAGGGACACACAGGTGACACCCAGGGGACAAAGTGACAGCAGGGTGACACCAGGGTGACACCACAACAGTGTCACACGGGGACAGTGACCACACTGTGACACTACCAAGTGACACCCGGGGACAGGGACAAAGTGACACCAGTGTGACCCCACTGTGACCACACCAAGTGACACCCAGGGGACAGGGACAAAGTGACACCAGGGTGACACCACCAAGTGTCACCCGGGGACAGGGACCCCACTGTGACATCCCCACAGTGTCACCCGGGGACAGGGACAGGCTGAGGGTGACCCAGGGGACAAAGTGACCCCACTGTGACCCCACCAAGTGACACCAGGGGACAGGGACCCCACTGTGACATCCCCACAGTGTCACCGGGGACAGGGACAAAGTGACACCAGGGTGACACCAGGGTGACCCCACAACGGTGTCACACAGGGACAGGGACACACAGGTGACACCCAGGGGACAAAGTGACACCACCAAGTGACACCACCAAGTGACACCCGGGGACAGGGACCCTGCTGTGACCCCACTGTGACCCCACCAAGTGACACCAGGGTGACACCACCAAGTGACACCCGGGGACAGGGACAGGCTGAGGGTCACCCAGGGGACAGGGACCCCACTGTGACATCCCCACTGTGACACCCGGGGACAGTGACACCACTGTGACGCCACTGTGACCCCACCAAGTGACACCCAGGGGACAGAGACATGCTGAGGGTCACCCAGGGGACAAAGTGACACCAGTGTGACACCAGGGGGACAGGGACCCCACTGTGACATCCCCACGGCGTCACCCAGGGACAGGGACACATTGAGAGTGACCCAGGGGACAAAGTGACCCCACTGTGACCACACCAAGTGTCACCCGGGGACAGGGACACACTGAGGTGTCACCAGGGGACAGGGACACATTGAGGGTGACCCAGGGGACAATGACCACACTGTGACCCCACCAAGTGTCACCCGGGGACAGGGACCCCACTGTGACATCCCCACGGCGTCACCCAGGGACAGGGACACAGGGAGGGGTCACCCAGGGACAGGGACACACTGAGGTGACACTCAGGTGACAATGACACAGGTGACACACAGGTGACAATGCCACCCAGTGTCACCCACATCTCCTTGACGAAGGTGGCCTCGGGGTTGGGGAAGATGTTCCCCAGGTGACAATGCCACACACACTCAGGTGACAATGCCACACACACACAGGTGACAATGCCACACACACAGGTGACACAGAGGTGACACACAGGTGACAATGACAGAGGTGACAATGACACAGGTGACAATGACACAGGTGACAATGACAGAGGTGACAATGACACACAGGTGACAATGACACAGGTGACAATGACACAGATGACAGGTGACAATGACACAAGTGTCACTCACATCTCCTTGACGAAGGTGGCCTCGGGGTTGGGGAAAATGTTCCCCAGGTGACAATGCCACACACACAGGTGACAATGACAGACACACAGGTAACAATGACACCCAGGTGACAATGACACAGGTGACACACAAGTGACAATGACACACACACTCAGGTGACAATGACACACACACAGTGTCCCCCAGGTGACAATGACACAGGTGACACACAGGTGACAATGACACAGGTGACAATGTCACTCACATCTCTTTGACGAAGGTGGCCTCGGGGTTGGGGAAAATGTTCCCCAGGTGACAATGACACACACACAGTGACACACAGGTGACACTCAGGTGACAATGACACAGGTGACAATGACACAGGTGACAATGCCACCCAGTGTCACTCACATCTCTTTGACGAAGGTGGCCTCGGGGTTGGGGAAGATGTTCCCCAGGTGACAATGACACAGGTGACACTCAGGTGACAATGACACAGGTGACAATGACACACACACAGAGGCGACAATGCCACAGGTGACACTCAGGTGACAATGACACAGGTGACAATGACACACAGGTGACACACAGGTGACAATGACACAGGTGACAATGACACACGTGTCACTCACATCTCTTTGACGAAGGTGGCCTCGGGGTTGGGGAAAATGTTCCCCAGGTGACAATGCCACACACACAGGTGACAATGACACACACAGAGGTGACACACAGGTGACACACAGGTGACAATGACAGAGGTGACAATGACACAGGTGACAATGACACACACACTCAGGTGACACTCAGGTGACAATGACACAGGTGTCACTC